GTCGCTTCATATATGAAGAAGCTCTTATAAGGGCTACAGAATAGTTCCGGAACAATTCCGTAGCAAAGAAAATAAAAAAAGAAGTTGTGTATACGCGTATATACTTGATCGACATTCGTCAAGCAAGGCGAACTGTGATTGGTTAAGGAGGATACACACACATACATACATAATACACTTATAGCTACCTACATATATTCTAACGCACACATAATTTATACACGACGCATTGAATCGCACGCTGGTTGTAGGGACCTGGGAAGTCTCTTATATACTAGACTTTACTTTTATTCAGCGCTTGTGAGAAACGGGGTCGGCACATCTTTTCTTTCGATGAAGTTCGGGAATTATTATGAAATTTAAACTGGAGTTCTCCTTGATTAGACGCTTGTAAATACTATTTTAGAAGAAATATAATTTCTACGACAAAATTTCGATAATATTATAGACCAGTCCTGTATTTCTCCAGGAATTTATTTACAATGCTGATTTTGAAAGTCTCACAAAAACCGTTTCGTAATTAGTTCGGAACGATTCAGATATACTTATATTGAATTTCTAAAAATTTCTGGAACTTTGCACAAATCCTCAATTATGGAACAAATTCAGGAATTCTTACAGAATTTATTTTTTCCGTGTGAGGTAAAAAGTGTTAATTAGTTTATACTGTCAAGTTATTAGACCTATAAAATTTATGTATTAAAGTTAATGGTTCTTTTTTTTAAATTATTAAGTGTATATATAAGGACAATATTTTATGACGCTGAAAATTACTGGATTATGCCCTAAAAAACTGTTTATTATGCGAAATTATGCGTTGAAAAATTAAAAAGTGCAAATTGATGCTTTTTTGACAGAAAAACGTTATTAAGGACCCAAATAAAGCTTTTAACATTATTATGTTAATTAAAAGTTGCATTTTAAACTAATATATAGCTAGAATATTTTAATAAGTTTCTATTTAATTATAGTATAAATTACATTATTCATAATATATACACTGAAAATAATTAAGGGGGCAACCCTAGTTGTAGGGTACAAAAATTTATCATTTGCATGAATTTTTTTTAAGAAAAACCACCAACATTTTTAAATAAAGCAACTTATTCTCTATAAATATAGAGTAAAGAGCATCATAAGAAATATTTTTTGCGATGAACACGGTAACATGGAGCTGGTTTCTCAGAAATACAAAATTCAAACGAATTTAGTTAAAGTAAAAGATAAAAAAATGCTGTGGGTTCTCAGCTGTAAAAAGATATTGTTTGGGGTCATCCATAAAGCATACTTAATTTCCGAAATTTTATCCCCAACCATCTTGATGCTTTTTCCATTAATGATTAATATGAATCATGATATTTTATGGACCCACCTACTCCTTCAAATATCTAATGCTTTATGGACGACCCCTTTCTTAAAAAAAGAAATCATTCTATTGATGTGAGGAGTAGATTTTTATGTATTAAAAAAGCCCACTAAACTCAAGAAAAATCGGAGATTCAGTGCAGTAGGTTTGAGAAATAGTGCGATCACCGATTTGCAAAATGCTGTTTTAAGAAAAACGAGTTTAAAGTTTTATCATACTCTTTCATTAGACGAAATTTTTTTACGGGCTACAGGAAGTCAGACTTAACTGAACCTTACTTCAGATCTTTAAAGCTTTATATCTCACTCAATTATTAAAATATCAACTTATTATTTTACAAACATATGTCTGAGACCCTACCCACACAGTACCGAAACTTTCCTACAAATTTATTAAAGATTTACTTGCAAACATCGAAGAATTTACTTGTAAAGTTACATAGCTCAACATTTATTGAAATGGGACATTTAAATCTTTGCAGAATTTTCACTAAACTTCGCAAGTAAATATGTACTTCCAAGCTTGCAAGTAAATTTTTAGTAAATATTTAGGAAATTTTCGGTGTTGTGTGAGTAAACTTAGAAAAAATACAAGACAAGAAAAACCGATTTTTTGAAAATTACAACTAGGATTGCCCTTTTAATTATGGATGATTAATTTTATTCATAAATTTATGATAAAATGTATTTATAAAGAGATATTTCGTTAATGCAGATTTAGACTGTGAAATATTTTTATATTTCTTGCACAAAAAATATAATTATGCACAATTATGCGAGAATTCAAAAATTGTGCGATGAAAAAAAATTATGCGTTTTGATGCGACGTTAAATTTATTTTATTTTATTCATAAACATTATAATACGTAGAACTTTAAACTTTCTTTTACACACAAAAAAAATATGGTAAATTTGACTACTTTTTTACTATTTCCTGTAGTTCCTATAGGCGCCCATAACGTTATTTAGTAAAATGAACTATGACAGAATAGTTAGTCTAACTGTAAAATGTGGTAATAAATACCATTTTTACAGTAAATTTAACTACTAAAACAGTTATCTTAACTATTTGTTGTTAGTCGTACTAACTGCTTCATTTAGTTGTAGTAACTAAATTTTCATAGTTCCTATAGGCGCCCGTAACAAATTGTAGTTGTAACAACTGTAAAAAATAGTTAAATTAACTATTTAAAGTAGTAAAATGAAATTATTTATTTGTTTTTTATTATTATTGAGGTCCATTTTTTATATTTTCTCTTACCTATTTTTGTTCATATATAATTTATATATTAAATTCTTATACACCTAACAGAGAAAAATCCCCAAACGCCGGGGATTGAACGCACGACCCTAACATTCACAAACCGATAACCTAACCACCTAACCTCGCTCGCACGCTACGATGACTGGCATTGTACTTGAGAACATTCTTCTTAGATTCAGTCATAATAACTACTCCGTTTAGTTGCAGTAACTAATTTTTTAAGCTCAAGGACTTAGTTGAAATGTAGCCAGCATATGATTTTAAATGACTCAACGATAGTGCAGTAGTTAAAAGTACTGTTGAAAATAGTTATTTTCAGAATTTCTGTAGTAAAATTATCCACTTTTTACTAGTTATAAAAAAATTAAACTTACTATTTTCATATAGTAAAAATAACATAAAAATTGTTACTTTTATGACTTTTGTAATTATAAAAATAAATGTTTCTTACCACCATAGAGATAAATTATTAAAAGCTAGTAAGAATTGGTTCTTTTAACTACATTAAACACAAAAATAACAAATTCCAGCGGTTGTTTTTACTCTTTGGAACAGTAAATTTTAATTTATTTTGCAAATAGCAAGAAATGGATATTTCTACTGCAGAAATTCCGAAAATAACTATTTTTAACAGTACTTTTAACTACTGCACTATTGTTGAGTTATTTACAATCATAACGTGTAGTAGTAATTTTAACTACATAAAACCTACTATTCAATTTTAGTTCCACTAACTATGGAAGTTTAGTTGAAATGCTGATGAATATGGTAGTTTTAACTATATTTTTTTAACTGCACATATGTGGATGTTTTTACCACTCACGTTTTTTCTCTGTAGAAAAAAATGATCTTTTCAACTGCATAAATAGTAAAAATAACTATTTTCAACAATTGATTTTACTATATGAAAACAGTAAATTTCTTTCTTTCTCTGCAACTAGTAAGAAATAGTTGTTTTAACTACATAAATCATAAAAGTAACAACTTTCAGAGGTTGTATTTACTGTATAAAAACAGTAAGTCTCATTTTGTTTGCAACTAATACAAAATAGTTATTTTTGCTACCACAATAGTAAAATTAACTATTTTTAACAATAGTTTTTACTACTACACTATAGTTGAGCCATTTACAAGCATCTGTTAGTTATTTCAACTACGTAAAGTAGTTATTTTAACTACATAAAACCAACTACTTCATTTTGGTTCCACTAACTGAGGAAGTGTAGTTAAAATGCTGCTGAATATGGTAGTTTTAACTACTTTTTTTCTAACTACACAAATGCATGTGGTTGTTTTTACCATTCGCATTTTTTTCTGTGTAATTTTTGAAAATTGTGCGATTATGCGCTTCGCACAAAGTGTAGGTCTCTATGTATATACTATTTAAGAAAATAAAATTGTTTGTCACAAATTGTTCCACTTGAATTCGTAATTTATAATAGTAAATTATTATATTGGTTAGCATTGATTTAAGGAGTGGTTTTGCATATATATTCTTTAAATATTGTAATATATAAATTTAAATGAATAAAACATTAAAATTTATATAAAAATATTAAAATGTATAAGTAAAATAATTACTAGCTTTTTAATTTCGTCAAAATATAGAATCTTTTCAGTCGAAAAAATTAACCTTTACTTAATTATTCCATATTACATTTATTTTAATTTAAATTAATTGAAAAAAGTTAATTTTAATAAAACCTTATTTCTTCTCACAAGTGGCTAAGAAAACGCAGGTTTAGTATATAAGAGAGATTCAAAGCAACTCGTGGTATGTTATATGCGTGCGTGCGAAAGCGAGCGTTATATGTATTCGTATAGTTGTATGATAGTGTTAGTTTTAGGTGCGTTATTATAGTGTGTGTAATCTGTGACAGAATAATATACTTTGTGTGTGTCAGTGTGTGTGCGACCCCTCCTAAACCCGTGTGTCTGCGTAGTAATTCAATAGACACTTTAACTATTTTTCTAAATTTTTTTCCATATCCTCATTTCCTGAAGAAATTTTGTAATCTTTCTTGAACAAAGATTTTCCGTGTAAATATATCCATAAGGGATAAATAATTTGAAAAAGTAAATAAAATTAGAATAGTTATTAAAACACTAGCTAACAAAATTTAATTGACTAAGATATTGCAGCCGATTAAAGATAAAAAAAACTCGCCACCCTGGTAATTATTAATCAGTTATAAGAATATTATTTCGATTAAGCCCCACATTATATCCACTTCAGATAAGTGTCTAATAAATTTACCGCATTTCACTTCTTATGGCTATCTAACAGTCAAGTTTAACTGAGAGTTGGATTAATTTGGGCTAAAAATAGTTTTGAGTAAATAATAATGGTAAATGAAATACTTTCTTCTAGTGAAATTAACTCATACAGTACAGAAGTTATTTATGGCAGCAAGAGAAGATCATGATGACTGAAATGGTTTACTTGATTTTAACTTGTGGAAAATGAATGGATTATATAGACTGTCTAGACAATAATATCCAATCTTCAATTAAGTATAGCTGAATATCAAAGTCACAATTTTAGGGCATGCCAAATACGCTTGATGTACCAATGATTTATTATACACAGAAGGTGTAAAATACCATCCAATCAAGAATCTGAAGAATAGCTGTAAGAATTTATATTTCTACTTAAAATTTGTATTTTTTTTGGTTTTCATCATTTTCATGGTATGAAATTCACAACATTAATGATCCATGTTTTTTTTATGAAAAATCTCCAAATTTCTTCCACATTTATAAATTTAAAAAATTGAATATTTTTTTTAACGAAAGATTTTATAAATTTTTCGTTTAAAAACCTGTTTTTAAAGTTAATTATAAATTATAGCAAATTCACTACTTCTAGTGAAATTTTAAAAACTTTTAAAGTACTTAAAATATGTGTACATAATTATATTATCCAGAATTTATAAATAAAGTTTGAATGATACTTGATATAATAAATAAACTTTAAATATTTTCGAATGCATTAATTAAATATTATGTTTAGTTAATTTATTACTTATTTTAACAGCAAAAATCTCACTTTTTATTCAGGTTTTTGATAATTTAAAAGTACAATACTAACTTACTTTTTTCATAACACAAGCATGGAAAACGTAACTTGTTATAGATGGAAATAATTCAGATAAACGTCACATTACCAAAGATTGAAAAAATTTCCTCGGTTTAACCAATAAGAATTTAGTTATATTGTAACATAGTTGTGTTAACAATTTAAACGTATAAGGTTGAGTCTATTCAATTAACAAATATATCTTGTGCAATTCATATATAGCCTCTGTAGAAGTTTAAGGTGACGTCCCATGCTGCATCAGACGGCGCCTTTATATTGTTTTCCTATTGTAAACTCTACAGAGACTGGTATTGCTCAAGATATATTTGTCTATTCTGGACTCAACCTAAAGTCAAAGCAGAATAGATTCTTAATCAAGATCGCAAACAGAATCGCATATATGTTTTTAATCTATTCTGCGATGGCCTATACTCGATTAGACATGACGTGGTGACACTATTTTTAATAATTTTTAATATTTTAATATTAATTACTAAATATAATTACAAAAATTATAAACTTTTGAGTTGGAACACCTCTACCGACCACACCTCGACGTAAACTTGATAATATCGTTATTATCATGTTCGACGTTTCCATATATTTGTAATAAAAAATAAAATGCAATACTCTTTTTGGAAGATGCACATTTTCCTAGTATTCTTAAATTCGGATAATATGAACAAAGAAATTAAGATATATTAACTTTTTTCAAAAGAACGGAAATGTTCATCTTTCCAAACGTGTATCGCGCAATGTACCTACTAATAATTATGTATTATTTTTAGGTGAAATAATATTTTTTTTTACTTTTTGCTTAGTTTTATAAATTATACTTACTGTATAAGATGAAGTTAGTTACCTAAAAAGCAGATATTTTCAACATAAAGATCTGAATATGTTTTATACTGTTTTGTAAAAACTAAAAAGAAAAAGTAATAGACAAAACATTAAGTAATTACTTAATAAGACGAAATAAAATTATTAATAATGATATGCATAATGAAAAGAAAAATTTCATTGCTATCTTAAAAATTTATTTACTGTATGAGAAAGAATAGAGTAGCCAAAGAAATCCTAGTTTACTATTTGAATAAAATAAAATGTTGATTACTTAAATCATAATCAACTTATTGCAATTGTATAAGTCTATGACTGTTGAGCCAATAATATTTCTATTAAAAAGTAATTTTCAAAATCAGATGCTGTCAATTTGTTTTTTATTGAGTTTTGTAATTTTTAGTATCTTTGTTAAATATTATTTGATATTGCAATATTAATTATAAGTAAATTGTATAATCATAGTTACTATAATTATAATTATATTTTAATTGTAATTAGTTGTAATTAGTTCATGTATTAATTTTAAATTTATAAGTGTCGTCAATTAGTGTTATTCATATACGTTATATAATTGAGGGGCTGGATCGAAGAACTGACGCTTAAAAAACTAATAATTAATTAATCTACAGCACTGAAAATTTTATAAGTTTTTTTTTATCTTTCTATTGACAATCCTTAATAAATGATTAAATTAAATAGGGTGATGTTTCATTAATAATTATTCATTAAAACAATAAATATCGTGTAGATTATAAACAGAAACTTTATTGTACTAATCAAAGCATGCCATTTTTTAACAGTTCTTTGTGTGGAATTTTGTACTTTCAGCAAATACTATACAGCAACAGAAAATATTTAGAAAACTTTGCCTAATAAATATTATATGAAGGAATAACATAATCCTTTATAATACAACTTATACATTGCAACTTATATTGCATTTTTAATTTAGGATTAGTGAATATCTTCAGGATTGAACATTCCCTAAAATGTAAAACAACATTTTATTATTTATGAAATTGAAAATTCTAAATTTTCATTTTACTTTTATTGTATACTTCGACTAAATTCTTTGAAAAAAATTCTATAAAATGATTTTGAATGAATTATTTTATATATTACAAATTAAATATTCTTAACATTTTTTAAAAATTTATTGATCACTTTTTAGAATAACTAATAATTATTTTACACTTACTTTGAAAACATGCACAGCTATTACTGTCATAAGTATAAACATTTTTAAAAACTATAGTTGTCATTGAATTTAGTCGAAATATAACGGAATGACCTTATAGTATTTCTTAAATACAAATAATTACCTTAGCTCGTCGTAATATAGAATCTTTACTAGCATCATAGGGATGATCCTTACTTGGAATTTCTAACACTGATGGGATAGGCTGAATATGAGTATCAATGACGTGTCTAATCATTTCAGCGATCTAAAAAGTGTCTTAATTAAATAATGTTTTTCGATCTATTTTGTTAAAAAAAATATTTACAAACTGACAATGGGAAATGGAAAATTAAATTAATTAAGGACGTTCATTCAAAGAAATTCCCTAGTTTCAGTTTAGGGTAGAGTGGGGTAAAAAAGCCACATTTTTACTTGTGATGCTGTAAAATCTGTATTTAAAATTTTTTTCTCAAATTTCCAATTGTTATTGAAAGTTTAGTTATTAAGCTTGAAAATTCTTGACGAAAATAATTTTTATCTCATGAAAGGACTAAGTTATAAGAGTTTTACGAAAGCACTGCAAGTGGCTTTTTTGCACCACCTGGTGGGGTGAAAAAGCCACCCTACGATTTTAGCAAAACATGTTATCAATTTAGGTATTTTTATAGTTTTCCTTTATTTATATGATAAATAGTCTTATTTGAAAAATATTTTAATAATTATGAAAGAGTTTTTAGCAAGCAAAATTGAAAATTATATTAAGTTTACCTGTTTTCGATTTGCACTGCCAATTTTTCGTACCTTTTTTAGAAGTTCTCTTTAAGTTTCACCACAGATAACATATTTCGTTGCAACCGTTTATTCATTGTTTATTTTTTAAATGCACTTTGAACTACTTTTTCGTCGTGTTTAATTTATTTTATTAAATAAACACGAGAAATTTTGTAAAATAAGAAGGTTAGTTTAAATAGAAAACAAGTGAATTTCACAAAATATTCAATGGATTTTTTGCCCTGGCTTTTTTACACCCATGACCAGTTATTAAAAAAAGCAAAAATAAATTGTTAATTCAGTTCAATTTCCAAAAATTAACATTGTATACGTTTTCGGTATACTTTTCTCCTTATGTACAAACATTTACTTTTATTATTCGTTCACTTAATCAGGTTGTAATATGTTTGAAAAGTTCACTAAAATGTTTTCAAAAAAGCAACAAAAAATTAAAATTACAATAAAAACAATATTAATTTAGGTACAACATTCAAATTAGATTCAAAAGTTGCGTATTACCTAATAGTATTTATATTCTAAACAGCTGATAAATCGGCTTAATAGTTTTTAAATAAAACTCAAATGGCTTTTTTACACCATGGCTTTTTTACCCCACTCTACCCTATCAATTTCCTTGACAATTTATTAACATTAAAATTATTATTTATTTTCTTAATTTCCCTGACAAAATTTTTTTTTTCATATCATTTCCCTGACTTTACTGACAAAAATTTTGTTTCTCCAACGCCTGCTCCGAAAGGAGTACTTTTTTGTTAGATAAGTGTGGCGAAAGTAGAAATTTTCTCAACTTCTCTGAAGAGAGACACGAAAGTAAATTCAGCATGGCGAAAGTAAATTTTAGCGTGGTAAAAGTAAATCATGACCTCATTTTTTTCTTCACGGAGAAAAATGGTGCTGAGTTTCTAGTAAAAGTTCCTATGGAATAGTAATAATTCTACTTTTATATTAAAAATTACTATTCATAGTAAAATGTACTTCGAATGAAGTAAATATTACTATTTCTGGTAGTAAAAATTACTAATAGTAATTATTACATTAGTCACATTTAAAAATTGCTTTAAGAATTTTAATTTTTACATCGTCATTGTAAATTTTATTAAATTTTGTATTACTTTTTACATTCGATATGTTGTAAATATTACTCGTAGAAATTCTACTAATTACTTCTGCAAGAAACAACTTTTACTATTGGAGAGCGAACTTTTTACTCGAAAAAATAGTAATCCGTACCACTACTACTATAGACCTGTGTGTGTGATGACGTCACTACTGTCATGCCCAGCGATCGTAGCCTGACTTCAAAGTCATTAACATTATAATACTATACTCCAAAGTTTTATACATATATTAAAATGTGCAATTCTAGCTTTGTATAAAATTATTTATAACATTTATTGAAATAATTCTTTTTTATTTTGTACAAAATCAGAATAAGAAATCTAAGAATAATAATCTAATAATTTAATAATTAAATTAAGTAATTTTAAATTAATAATACTGTCGTTTATTATTATTATTATTATTATTATTATTATTATTATTATTATTATTATTATTGCATTATTATTATTAATGTTTATATTTTAATTCAGTAGCTTATGTAAATAAATATAGTAAAATTACAGTAATGTTAAAGTAAATTTTTCAGAGCAAAATTAATTTAAAATTACAGTAATATTACACGAGCATGCATTGAGAAAACTGGAGAGTCAAATTCAGAGGTTCAAAAAGTGTATGTTTCCTTTGCTTATGAAGAGAGTTAAATAGTCCTTCTAAAATAAGTTTTTAATTGATAATGGAAATCTACTTGTATATTCTCTCCCATTATATCTGAGGGTTAAAAGTTGCGCAGAAAATGTGTACGATCTGATGCGCGCGAAATTATTTTTCTGACATTTTATGTATTTAATTTAGGGGTTAGGTTGCCATATTTATTCATTTCGCGCCGGATAAGGAAGGGATTTCTCAAGATGGTTAATTTGTCCCTCTGTTATAAACTCATTTTCCCTCCAAGAGAAATGGCACGAATATCTGTCAATGGTGTATTTGAACATTTAGATTGTTATCCAATAGCTAACTCTCAAATATCAACGATTTGTCCCTCCAGATGTTTAGTCCAATACTCCAGTTTTCTCAGTGTGTAAAGTAAATAAAAAAGGCTGTGAAATGCATATCTAATGAATAAACAAGAAATTTTTTTTTATTTTATCGTTAGAAAATAAACTTTTTTTCAATTTTTTCTTAAGTATGTAATATTACAGTAATGTTACTGAAATATTACCGCATAATATTACTGTAATGTTACTATAATATTGATGGGTAATATTACCATCAGGCGGACATTTTAATATGACCATAATATTACAGTAATTTTACCGGGTAATATTACTGTAATGTTACGTGCTACATGGGAAAGGGATATATGCGGGTAACCGAAATTTTCTTCCATAGCAATTGTGTAGCCGAGAGGCTTAGTGTAAATGCGCCGGCATTCTTTTCACCCGTCGGTGTGAGGCGCGTCATTGAGTGGGTACGGATTACTACTTTTCCGAGTAAAAATCTTTACTAAATAGTAATAATTGCTCTGATTCGTATTAATTGCTCGGAACATTTTAAATATTACTCGGCCTTTAGTAAAATTTAGATTCCTTGAAGTAAATTATACTTTTTTAAAATAGTAAAAATCGTTTGAAAACGAAGCAAAAGTTACTATTTCTTGAGCAGTTTCAAAATTACTACTTGAAAGTAGTAATTTTTCATCGAGAATAGTATAATTATTACTATTTATTTTTCTCCGTGTTGTTCCTTGACCGCGAGATATATTTTGTGTCTCACTTCTTCCCCACTCAAAACATTCGTCTGTTATTATATTAAACACTACACTGAGAGAAATGGATAGTCAGATTTTGATGTTAAAAAGATGATGTTACACGATACTATCATTATGCTACTGCCAACCATCACAGATGCTAAAAAAAATATAGTTATGCTACCCCTTACTACCAAGATGTTACTCCTGATGATATTGATGGTAACGGTGACTATCTAGATAGCTGTCTGTATACGTAGCATTAAAGATGGTCACCCTAACCACAATTATGTTACCCACTACTATAAATTTCTCTCTGTGTAGCGCCTCCGTCGACCGCTACGCGGTCGACTACGTTGCTTCCACTTTCCATTTAACACGTAAATATTCTTTAAAATTTTTAACACGTAATTTGCTTTTTCATGTTATTCCTACCTTTAAATTATGATTTTGTTGTGATAAAAAAATGTAAAAACAACAAATTTCATTTGTTTAAATAAATTTTGAAACAAAATGTTTGTGTCAAAATTCAAAAATTATTATATTTGTTCAAAAATAATAAAACATTAAAATATCACTTCGAACGAAAACTGGTTTATAAACAATAATAAAAAACTGTTACCCTACGTTTTTTTTAATTTTTACTCATTCTTCAGCAAATAAATGTTTATTTATTATTTATACGTATAATATATATGGTTATTTTGTTGTATTTTTAGTCGGTCACAACAACAACAGAAATTTGTTTTGTTCCGATTAAGTAACTAAGTTAGTGAGGTTACATTTGTTTACAAAGTGCATACCTTGTACATTTAGCACTAACCAGAAATACTACAACATAACACATTCAACACATTATTTTTCCATTGTAGACGCAGCCCAAAAATTACAAAATTAAAAAACATTTAATATACTTTTATTTATATTATAATAATAAAAAACAATTATTTGCCGAAAATAAAATAAGATTCCAAAAGAAAACAAACAGTAGCCATCTTTCTATCTTGGTTTGACGTCATCCTGCATTTCACGCGTGCGTAGTCTTTTTTAAGAAAGTTCTGTGATGACGTAATATCGATATATCTCTAAAGTTTCGAGAGAATTCGAGTTTCAATAGAAATAGAGTTTCGAGCTAGTTCTTCGATTTTTCTCGAACTTTCTTTTTTAGTAAAGGATAAGCACTAGGGTGTCCGTAAAAATGCGACTTTCTAATTTTGTTTACGCCTCCCCCTAGTTTGGTTCCAATAAAATAAATTTTCCCAAAATCTGAAGCCGATTGATTGATAATAAAACATGCCAGTAATCGATCAAAAATACATGAGAAAAATGCACTTTTTAAACAAAAATCATAATTTTTTTAATTTTTATGCAAAAAATTCTCCAGGTCACAAATCATTTCATTTTTAACTGCACTATAAGATACTTAGCACTTCTACAAAAATTTAATTTAAAAAAATTTTCAAAATGGCGGATATTTAAAGTGGGTCATAAAAATGCAGACCACAATGTATGCAACGTTTTATCACGTAAATGTTAGCAGAAATTCAACAAATTTTCTTACTCAGGGGTAATTTGAATTGTTTATCAAGAATCTGATATCAGAAATTAATTTTTCAAACTTTTTGATCCAATATATGGCGGACTCGAAATTTTCATTTTTCACATTTTTGAAATAAATATTCTGATACACCGTCAAGGAGGATTTAATCTAAAAAATTAATATTTAGAATATTTACTTAAAAAATGTGGAAAATCAAAATTTTATGTCCGCCATATTCGATCAAAAAGTTTGAAAAATTAATTTCTGATATCAGATTCTTGATAAACAATTCAAAATGAAAAGATTTGTGATCTGGAGAATTTTGTGCATAAAAAATTTTTAAATTATAATTTTTTTTAAAAGTGCATTTTTTTATTTATTTTTTATGGGAAATTTAGATCGATTACTAGCACGTGTTTATATTAATCAATCCGCTTCAGATTTTGGGAAAATTATTTTTAATTTTATTGAAACCAAAGTGGGGGGTGGCGTAAACAAAATTCGAAAAAATAAATTTCCCATATATCTTACGGACACCCTAATAAGCATCCGTTAAATTAAAATTATACGAAACTCAAGAAAAAACCTTTCCTCGCAAGGCGTTGGAGAAAACCTAGTGCACAACACGTGATGAAAAAATGATTTTTCTCAAGTGATTGCTGCTCTTGCTACGCTCGAACCGCAAACTTCACTCTCGAAAAATCACACTTTCAGCACTAGTTGTGCAATGTACTATTTCCTGACTTTACTGATCTGTGACCACCCTGAATGCAGACTTAAAAAAATAATGAATTCACATTTAAGAAATTGAAATTTTATTATCATTCGAATTTTCTGAAAGAACAAATATTAATTTTCAAGAAAAAAATTTAAAACTTACAAAATTTATTATATAATTTCAATGTAATCCAAATTTTTTGTCATATCGCTTCTTAAAAATTAAAAAAAATATACACTACCGTCGGGAATTATCGGTACGGCTGCACGCGCACGGCCCAAAAACATACCAATCTTTAAATCACGATTTTTTTGTAAATGCAAATGTCAGAAAATTAACAAATATACTATTCGTAAGATTATTAAATTCTACGATTAATGATACATGACTGTAAATTTTAATAATTCATACAAAGATTGCAGCAATCAACAAATTTGCCAAAAAAATTTAAAAAATAAAATTTTTTTGGAAATTTTTTCAACCCCTGCATATTTTTTAAAATTGTAAAAAAAATTTGATACTTACATAGGTGTGATCATTTAAGTCTCATCTTTAATTTAAGACCAAAAGAGTTTAAAAATCTTATTCGGTTCATGAGATATCATTATAAACGTCCGAGCATGTTTTTTGATAAATGCATTGAATTACATAGTCGCTTTTTGGTCTTAAATTAAAAATGAGATTTGAATGATTACACCCATGTAAGTTTCAAATTTTTTCTACAATTTTAAAAAAATATGCAGGAGTTGAAAAAATTTCCAAAATTTTATTTTTTAAATTTTTTTGTTATATTTGTCGATTGCTGCAATCTTTGTATAAATTATTAAAATTCTCAGTCATGTATCATTAATCGTAGAATTTAATAATCTTTCGAATGGTACCTATATTTGTTAATTTTCTGACATTTGTATTTACAAAAAAATCGTGATTTAAAGATTGGTATGTTTTTGGGCCGTGCGCGTGCAGCCGTTCCGATAATTCCCGACGGTAGTGTATTTCGATTTTAATATATTTTAATGTCACCGTTTAAATTTTTAAACACGTATGCCGTTTGGAAAATATGCTTATTTGTTTAGAAAAAGTAAAAATTTTCTTCTAAACAAATAAGCATATTTTTAAAACAGCGTGTTTATTTAAAAACCTGAATGGTTACGTTGTAAAGAATCATTTTTTAAAGAAAATAAGCCATAATTATGCATATTAAAATCGAATCATTTTTAAGAAGCAATCCTTTCTTAAAAAAGACATGGAGTGGAAACGTCGAATGTATCGAAAAGTATCGAAGTAAAGAATGGGCAATGAGAATGTAAAATCTTAATAGAAGGGTGTTTTTAAAATTGTTTGTACATGTGAAGGTGGCGCTGCAGTCGTATGTTATTTAAAAAGAGCGCGAATATATAAATTTTATTTTTGTTAAGAGAAAGTACTCATAATAAATCTTATTTTGCATTTAAAAAAAAACGTCAACATTTCAAATATAAATAAGCAAATTATTAACTGAAAAAATTTGAATATTATTATTAATAAAATAATGGACTTGGACAATGGACATATAAAAACTAGCACCGTAGACGGCCGCTTGCGGCCGTCGGAGGAGCTAGTATGACAAAAAATTTATATAAACCAATTAATTTTTTGATTGTCAATTTTTTTTCTTGATAATTAATATTTTTGTTTTCTAGACAATACTGTTAATAATATTTCAATCATTTAAATATTAATTATATATATATTCTTAAGTAAATATATTTTTTTATTAAAGAACATTGAAAAAATAATTTAAACTTACATTTTGATTAATAAGAATTATATCAATATCATCTCGTTTTATAAAACGTTTAAATGTATCCTCAATTTCTCCAACCGCTGTATCTAAAAGTAATATAATGTAATTTGTTATAAAAACTTAAGTAACAGTTAAAATTATCACTAATAATAAAGAATTAAAAGAATTACAAAAGTAATTTAAAATTACTAAAATAGCAAAAAATTATAATAAAAATATCAACATTAAACATTACATTCTAATAATACCAGTACCAAAAAGAAGAATACTATTAAAAAGGTAAGAAACTAAAACGAATATGAAGATTATAAGGGTGAAGCTAAAATTAAATATATCATAAAAACATTACTTTTGTCGACAACCATAAAATTAGGATGACGATTTTTATTAATTTCGCCAACGCCTCCCAATAAAAATCCTACACAGGTATCCTGAAAAAAAATCAATTAACTTCTAATTTATTAAGTTTAAAAAATCTGATTGATTATTAATAAAATTTTTGTACTTATTAAAAGAATTTTTAGGAGTAAAAAGGAAGTATTAATTTGTTACTCACTTCATCACCAATGACAGCTAAAAGTTTTCCCTTTCCTGCAGAATGTAGTGCCATTTTTTCAAAAAAAAGGTTTTTAATTCAGAAATAGTATACCAGAATTTTTCTAAAAAAAATATTATTTACTTTATACAACGTCTGCAAATGATCTTATTTCTCTTTCAGAAATCAGCTGACCTGCCGTCACACCTACAAAGGATGCGTTCAATTTTTTCACTACATAAGCGACATCTGGAATTTAGTTTTCTTCAATTGGTAATAACGACGATATCGACTGTCGTCTTTTTGCTCGACAGGTTCCCAATATGTTATACTATACGAGAAACCGCGTCCCTCCAAGAACACCACGAGGTACAGTAGATTTCAAGAATGTGAGTTGAAAGAGGACCAACTGTTAAAAGTCACCACCGATGGCGTCAGTTATGCACAGGGCCTATTTCAATTAAAAAGCATGGAATAATGCAACAAAAATTATGTTTTTATTAATTTAAATTAATTCAACTGTATTTCTTTATACATAATATTGATTTAAAAGCTTTATAAAATATTTTGTAATATAGGTTTTAGTTTATTACGACATGAAAAATTATTTCGTTTAGCTTTCGGAAAACACACCTCTTTTTTAGATCATTTTTCAAAGCTCAACCAATTTTGAACTGTTCATCTGATCAAACTGAAGAATTTTTTAAATATAGTTTTAACTCTGTAAAATAAGTCTGTAGAGGAGAACGGGGCGAGGCAGCCAAGACGGCACATTTTGGTTTGCGAGGCAGTTATTTAAATAGGTTTTTTCAATTTTAATATCGCGTTAGAAAGCTTGCCCAGTAAAAAAAAGTATTTAGAATAGAGAAAAAGTATTGGTGGTGACCGTTCGGTAAATGCGTTTTCGCGTAAAAACCGTATTGGTGGGTTACGGTGGGTGTTTACGAGATATAGGCCCTGAAGCGCCTCGGAGGCGTGAAAGGTTCTCATTTTAGTTTGAAAAGTAAATTTGTTAACTTGGACTCTGATTCGTTGAGAGCGTATGAATCAGATAGTGTGTGTGATACTGGCTGCAGTTTTATAGGTATTTAACTAGAAGGGTTGCGTTCTGAAATAGTAAATTGCGCAAAAGCTGCGTTCAGACCGTTTTTTGCGGAAGCGCTCATGCGCAAACCCTAGCAAGTGTGCTTGCCTACCGCTCTGAGCATCTCGAAGCAGCTCGGCATGTGTGCATATAGGCACACCTGCACGTGTGCTTTGAATGTTTTGATTCTCATCATTTTTCATAAATTAATAAAAACTAAGTGCCTTATTTAATTAAACTGTTAACAATAATTATAAATATTGCTTAAAGTAATAAATAAAATATATTTTATTGAAAAGCGCTTAATTTAATTTATTTCACTGATTTTTTTTCAAAAAAATTTACATAACCTCAATATAATTTAATATTTACTTTATGTTAAAAGCAAGAACTTTATTTTGTTTTAAGATAATTCTATAACATTTTTGTTCAAAGTATATAATATATAATTATAATAAAATTTAAAAAATTTAATTTTATTTGTTATGAAAATATTTATTTATTTTATTTATTTTTTATTATTTTATTTTATTATTTATTAATATTTATTTTATTTATTTATTATCCATCCATCATAGCTTTTTTCACTTTATTGTCAATTACAAAAATGCATTGCTTTTCCTCTTTGTATTCTATTTTTATTTTTTCCTTCGCAAACTCCATCTAAAATTGTGTCGCATGTTATAGTATTATAATTTTTTTTTGATAATAAATATTTTCATAACAAATAAAATTAAATTTTTTAAATTTCATTATAACTATATTATATACTTTGAACAATAATGTTATAGAATTATCTTAAAACAAAATAAAGTTCTTGCTTTTAACATAAAGTAGATGTTAAATTATATAGAGGTTATGTAAATTTTTTTGAAAAAAAATCAGTGAAATAAATTAAATTAAGCGCTTTTCAATAAAATATATTTTATTTATTACGTTAAGCAATATTTATAATTATTGTTAACAGTTTAATTAAATAAGGCACTTAGTTTTTATTAATTTATGAAAAATGATGAGAATCAAGACATTCAAAGCACACGTGCAGGTGTGCCTATATGCACACATGCCGAGCTGCTTCGAGATGCTCAGAGCGGTAGGCAAGCACACTTGCTAGGGTTTGCGCATGAGCGCTTCCGTAGTTTTTACACCTGAAATCTGTACGGAAGCGCCTACGCGCCACGAGGCAAAGAGAGGAAACCTGTTTCTGCTAATGTCGTTTTAGCTTGTGGAACATAGGAACACGTTCGATGGTTCGCTGGTTCGGTGGTTCGATGATGTGATTGTTGCTAAATAAAAAATTTAAAATAAGAAATAAAAATGAACCAAATTAATTTAAATTGACAATTTTAATGTAATAAAATATTTTTTAGGTATTATTTATAACAGATATTAATTATGAGGTAAATTAGGTGCTTTAAAAAAAATCATATATTTTGAGGTTATAAAATGTGTTATGAAAAAGTAATGGTACACTTCAACTCATCAATGCCACCGGGGTGGAAAAAATATAATGAAAGTTTGTATCGTTATAATAATACGAAAAAACTTAATTAACCCACTTAATGTAAATTAAAAAAAAGAATTTTGTCTTTTGATATAGATATATCACTGTAAAAAAATCTGGTGTAAAATAACACAAAACTTGTAATTTCACACATCAAAATTATAGGTTGTACGTAGTAAATTTATTTCGTTCCAAAAGTAGTTTTACTATTTTTAATAATTTTACATTATACGACTATGTAATTTAATAGTTTTGTGTAAATTTACTACGTCCGACGTAGGAAAATTTGATCACTATGTCCGACGTGGTATTTTTACATTGCGTGTATTTCTACACTTTGACGTAATATTACGTCGCACGATCTGTACAATTACATGGCGAATGTAATTTTCTTATTCCTTTAAGATTTTCGAAAAATTTTCAAGTTTTTATAAATAACTCTAAAAAAGTGTATATAATATACATTTATAGAAAGTATATGCTAATTCATAAGTAAATAATAATATTACAAACAGTTTTGGGCTATATTTCATAAATACAAAAAGTTACGACTGAAAATATTATTTCAAAAAATATTTGCAGGTTATGTAGATTACAGTCGGCGTGTAAAAATACCACGTCGGACATAGTGACCAAACTTTCCAACGTCGGACATAGTAAATTTACACCAGATTTTTTTACAGTGTAGATATTATGTATTTATATTTTAATATACTAAAATTATGTAAAAAAAAATAAAATCAAAACTCATAATACATTTTAATATAATTATTTAAAATTTTTTAACTAATTTTATGAGGGGTTTCATTTTTTGACAATTTTATGTATTAGTAAAATTTTACCAATTATTTTATAAAACGATTAGTTTTATTAATTTATTTGTAAATTTTAACGAATCTGGATAAGGTTATTCACTATAATTTTGAGATGTTATACCCGGTAATAGTATAGAAACCAGGTAATTATGCATTTTATACCCAGCTAAAAATGATTCGTATAATTCGTACGAATTTCGTTCAGAAATCTGTCCAGATTCGTACAGAATTCCTATCGAATTCGTGCAAAATTCCATACGAATTTACGAGCAGATTTTATAAAAATTTTCCAAAATGAATCCGTTCGTAATTCGCTCGAATTTCATACGAATTTCGTATGGAAATTTCGCTGAAAATTTTTGAGGAAATTTTTAGTTGACATTTCATGCGGAATTCCATACGGATTTCCGAAAGAAATTTTTGTTTGAAAATTCATTTTTAAAAATCCGGGTACTATTCGCACGAATATTCGTGCGAAAAAACGTTTCAAAACGTCACACGAATTTCACTAGCAATTTCGTTCGAATTCGATAGGAATTCTGTACGAATCTAGACAGATTTCTGAACGAAATTCGTACGAATTTCGTGCGAATCATTTTTTACCTGGGATATAGCAAGTTTTACTACTTTATACAAATGTAATGTAGTAGAATTACTACTTGAATTAGTCAAAATATTGACTACTTCAGATTTAAATAAGTAGTTTAATTATTTCACTAGCAAATTATACGCGCGGAATGTGGTATTCTATTTATTATTATGTGAAAATTTACACGTGTAATTGCATGTGTCTTTTTGGACATATCTTACACACACTGAGAAAACTGGAGTATTGGACTAAACATCTGGAGGGACAAATCGTTGATATTTGAGAGTTAGCTATTGGATAACAATCTAAATGTTCAAATACACCGCATTGATAGATATTCGTGCCATTTCTTTTGGAGGGAAAATGAGTTTATAACAGAGGGACAAATTAACCATCTTGAGAAATCCCTTCCTTATCCGGCGCGAAATGAATAAATATGGCAACCTAACCCCTAAATTAAATACATAAAATGTCAGAAAAATAATTTCGCGCGCATCAGATCGTACACATTTTCTGCGCAACTTTTAACCCTCAGATATAATGGGAGAGAATATACAAGTAGATTTCCATTATCAATTCAAAATTTATTTTAGAAGGACTATTTAACTCTCTTCATAAGCAAAGGAAACATACACTTTTTGAACCTCTGAATTTGACTCTCCAGTTTTCTCAGTGCATGTAAATATACACGAGGAAACGTTTTTTACAAGTGTAACAATTTTTTCTCCTGTATTTACATGTGTAGTTACACGAGGAAAACATTATTACACGTGTAAAATCTTTTCCTTGTGAATTTACTCGTGCATTTACATGTGTCCAAATCTACACGTGTTTATTTTCATTAGGGATTATGCAAATTAAAAAAATGTTTATTTTCAAATACGAATTATTGAAAAATTTCCGATTCAAACTTTCAAACAATTCAATTATTAACTAATTTACTAATTAATTATTCCTGTTTATTAATTTCAAAATTTTTAATACAATTCTTTGTCCAAGAATTCAATTATTTTCATAAACAACAACATTCTTCGAAAGAATTAAATTATTTTTATAAATAATAAAATTATTCTCAGAAATTCAATTATTTTCAATACCTACAATTTTAATAAACGTGAGAATAATCAAATATTTTATTATAATTACTACCACCAGACGCGATAATTTTAAAAGGTTGATCAAAATTTTTTGTTTACTTCTATGGTTTTTAAAATTATCTAGAGAAAGGTAGATTATGCGATTGCATAATTGCATAATTTTTTAAAATCAAGTAGAAACATTATAATATTATGTTAATTCATGTTTTAAACCTTTTACAACATGTTTCTAGAGCGCATAATATTGCATAATTTTTTACTCACTGCATAATTGTACTCTTTTTGCATAATGATTGCAGAATAGACTCAAAATTTTCAAAATAGTGCTTTTTTAACTAAAAACCATGGAAAATTTTTTTTTAGTTTCTTTATTTTTAAAATATTTTTTTAAATTAAATAATAAAATAAATAAGTTTTTAAACTATTAACTAACTTGTTAAATGTTATTGAAAAATTAAATAAATCTTAAATTTTAAAAAGCAGTAAGTACTATATATGATGAGTAACATCGTTTCCGGTCATTTTCCCGAAAGGCCGTGTCTGAATGTCTAATTAGTATAAAGAAATAGAAATTCACTAGAACGATCCCATAAAATTGCTACATGAATTCTAATAAATTTTAGTGATTTAGGGTCATTTGGGGTAAATGTAAACAGTAGATGTAGATGTAGCTAAATTTACAAATTTAAAAATAAGTACGACGTCAATATTTTTACCTCAGCTCACCTACAAGATGTTCTGAGTATTGCCAATATTTTATTTTGACAATTGGCAATGCCATAATGTAAGTTATTTTTTAATGCAAAAAAGATTGAAAATCAAAGTTTTACTGTTTCAGTATTTTGTCTCGCATTTGCATAAAAATAAATTAAAAAATCAAACAAAAATATGTAATTCTTCCTTATTAATGCCCTAACAAAAATTGACTTCGATTTTTTATTTCCGTCAATTTAGTTAATAAATAATTAAGTGTTTACATTTACCCCGAGAATTCGAAAACTCGGGGTAATGTAAACAGAAATTGAACTACATTTTAAAAGAAAATAATTGAATAAATTTGCTTTTATTTCACAATTTTATTACTTTGGCAATGTAAAATTACATAAAAAAGGAAATTAGGTCTTCTTTACAAAAAAAAAAAATTTTTTTTTTAAATTTGATTAATTTTTAAAAATATTTGTAGGTTCATCCGCGATATTGGATCCGCCATTTTGAAAATTTAAAATTTGACGTCAAATTCGTATACAGCGACCTCAAAAACCCCCTAGTATCCAGATTCAAGCAAATTTAATCAATTTTTA